TCACTTCATCCTCACTACATCATCACTTCATCCTCACTTCATCCTCACTACATCATCACTTCATCCTCACTACATCATCACTTCATCCTCACTTCATCATCACTTCTGGTGCTGAATTTAAAAGTTGTCTCTCCTTTTCTGAAGTTACTTTGAACGGTAGAAACGAACAAACGCCCCACTCCTCCTCACTGATGATGACGGTCCTCATGGTGGGAAGAAGGCTCTTGAAAGAGAGAGTGGAGCATGAAGGGTCAGAGGTCACGAGTAGCAGAGGGCAGGAAGTTCAGCCATGCAGCTTCAGAGACCCACAGGGTTCTCAGGCCGGTCCCAGGGAGAACATCTTGACCTTCTGGAGCCTTTATGCTCACTTACTGCTGACCTGACGTCCTACAGATCAGAACATGATCCCAGAGGAAACACCAGAGAGAGATGGGAAATGTATCTTTTTACAGGAAGATTAAAATAATAAAAATAAGCATAAATACAATTAGCTGCCAAAATGGTGTTCTTTTCTTTACTTCTGTTCTCAAAAGACAAGAAAACAAACAAATCCCTCATTAATGTGTTAAAAACTGAACATGAAGTTTATGTTGATTTAATTTGTAAATAAAGAGCTCGGGTGGTTTCAGGTCATGTGAACATTTCTGCAGAAAGTGCTGAAAGCTGCAACAAACAAAACATTTTAATGACGTTAAGGCCAAAGGAGGGAACATGTACCATCTTAAGGACCTGAAACTACTTCAGGTCCTGATGAGACGACGCTCGGCCGAGCTGATTTAAATTAGAGCTCATAAAGTTCAGGCTCTGGATGTGATTCAGTTTCCTTCAACCTGAGGAATCTGCTCGTCTGTTTACCTCAACCTAATAAAACAAGCAGCTCTTCTCGGTTTCGTCTCAAACATCCTGGTTTATGTCTCTGTTTGTGGTTCTTGGTTCTTCTCGGTGGACTGAAGCAGAAATAATCCCCAACATGCAGAACTCAAAGGTTGTGCGACCGGCTGGAACCGGAGCTGAGATAATCTGCCACTTTGTCGTATTTAGTTTTTATTACGTGCAGCTAATCGGAGCTGATGGCCGTTTGAGAGCTGATCCTCGGCCTGTTTATCTGAGCCGTGCTCATGCTTCACACATGGGTGAAGATCTAGTCAGGGGCACTTCCTCAGCTGTTGAACCTGGATGAAGATCCTCCTCTTCATCAGCTGCTCAAACGGCTTCATAACATAAATCTCTGTTTACTCCAGACCGAGAGGCTGCAGGTTGGACTGCTGGTTTTTCTCTGGACTGATGAAGTGTTTTATTTCCTGTGGTCTGGTTTGTTTACAGGTGAACGTTGGACGTCGACCTTCCTGCGCTGATGAGGTGATTCCAGACCAGAGCGGATCGCTGCCGTTCTTTAATCTCAGAAAGTTCACACATTTGATGGAAACACGACAGTTTAAACCTTTCTGCTGCTGCCAGCAGAATAAAAGGCACTTCAGCAGAAACACCTTAAATAATTCCTGCATGGATGTAGACTCTCACACGGGTGCATCTTCATCCATAAATCACTCCTTAGTGCGCTGCCTTCTTATATCTCCTCCTACATGTCACGTCGTCAGTGCAGCTACAGCGTGCGCTCTCAGGCCTTCATTACCTGCAGCGTCCCCTCAGTGTGGACTGAACTTGGCAAAAAGGCCTTTTCTTGCTCTGCTCCTATTTTAAACAATTGATAAGGTCAATAGAAATATCAAAGTAAATATGTTTTACCTTGTTTTATAAGGCACCCTGACTGGACTGTTTTTATAACATTACTTTTATTTGATTTTAATAGTTTTTTTGTTGAATTATTGTTGTCTGCACTTTATATGTTGTCTGTCTAAAACAGGTCTCTCTTGTAAATGAGTCCTTGTGACTCAGTGAGACTGACCTGCAGAAATAAAGCTTGAATGAATGAATGAGTCCAAAACGACTCGTTCAGAGATATTTCTCAATGTTTTTGTTGTAAACATCTAATTAAAAAGTGAATAAATCCACAAATGTTCTGGTGAAGTGTTGACTTGTATTCATTTTAATAAATGCGCATTGATGAGTTGAATGAGGTTCAGTTTGTTGACAAAGTATAATTTCTTCATCTCACCACCAGGTGGCGCCAGAGTCTTTACTTTAACTTCACTTGAACTTTTCTTACAAACAGGAAACAAGCCGCAGCGCTGCCACTGCAGTTTAAAGACAAACGAGTCTTATTTTAACAATTTTAACAATTTTAACAATTTTTTACATTTTTGTTGTTGTTGTTGTTTTGTTTTTTGAATGTCCAGAGGACCAGACTTAACTTTTTCAGATTTATTAAGAATTCTCTCGTTTTAACCATCGTCTCAACCGAGCTACAGATTTTTGTTTTTATCTCTTTACCGGACGTGGCGTCTCCCTTCAGCAACTCCCGGCACTCGTTTTTACGTGAACCTTTTGGTTTCGCAAACTTCTCGAGTTTAACGAGGAACCTCGACACACTTTAAAAGTGAAATGTGTAAAAAAATCTTTACAAATAAAAAGGAACGGTTCCTGAATCTCCCAGAAAAACAGAGAAGCATAAAAAGGTCAACAGTTTGGTAAACATGAGGTAGAAGCTGAGCTTGTTGTTATTTGTTTACATGTTGTTTGTTTCTGTTTGTGGGTGACACGGTGGATCAGTGTGTAAGCTGCTGCCCTCAGAGAGCAGGTCGCCGAATCAAATCCTGGCTGTGGGTCTTTCTGGGTCGAGTCATGTTAGACTGAATGGTAACTCTAAAATTGTCCCATGATGGACTGGAGGCCTGTCCAGGTGTCCCCCTGTCTCTCTCACAGTGACTGCTGGACATGGACACCAGCACCGACCCGTACAGGACGAAGCGGGCACAGAGACCAGGCTTGTAGGTGTTTGGTGTTAGAGGTTCTGGTCCGGTGTCCTCAGAGGGCTGAAGAACGGGTGCCACAGAGCTTCTTCAGCAGTGATCCGTCTGCTGACGTCGTACTCGAACATGCAGCTGAGCAGGTGGAACAGCTGCTGCTCCTCGACGCTGCTCGTCCTCATGTACGTCTGGAAACAACAGAACATCTGTCTTCTGCTGAACATCTGTCTGCTGCTGAACGTCTGTCTGCTGCTGAACGTCTGTCTGCTGCTGAACTTATGTCTGCTGCTGAACTTATGTCTGCTGCTGAACTTCTGTCTGCTGCTGAACATCTGTCTGCTGCTGAACATCTGTCTGCTGCTGAACTTCTGTCTGCTGCTGAACTTCTGTCTGCTGCTGAACGTCTGTCTGCTGCTGAACGTCTGTTTGCTGCTGAACATCTGTCTGCTGCTGAACGTCTGTCTGCTGCTGAACGTCTGTCTTCTGCTGAACATCTGTCTGCTGCTGAACGTCTGTCT